TGATGTATCTTTTGGTTGGGGGGCCGCGCCGAAAAAGTGGTCACTTTTTTTAACAACATTTCTCAAACAAAAACAAGTGTTGGGGCCTAAATAAGGCATTTTTTCACCATTTGAGACAACAAAAAGGGGGGGGGGTGAAAAAGGCGTTAAAAGGCGTGTTTATATGAAGTAATGGGTTAACAGAAAATGATGAAAATACTTGAAATTACCCTAAATCGCGTTTTTCCATGTTTAAACATGGCCTGTAATATAAATTTGAAGAAAAAAATTGTTGTTTTGTAGATTTTTTTATTTTTTTTATTAACCCATTACTTCATGAACATTTTGTTGAAAAATGGCTGTTTTCATTGAAAAGTCTCCCGTTACAAGTTCAAATTGCTATAATACTATAAAAACTGCTTCAACACTAATCAAACTTGGCACAAATGTTGACTGGACCATTGCCCTTGCAACAACATGCTCAGGCTTAAATTTTCTGTTACCATGGCAACGAGGGGACATCTCAAAATTGCCAAAAATCACTATTTTGCGTTGATTTTTTCCATCATAATTGATTTCAAAGTGCTGCAACTTCTCAATGGATTGAGATAGAGTCAAATGCTTTTCAGCGTTGGTTACACGTTACCTTATGATCAATCTGAGGTCATTTATAGCCTCTCACAAGTCCAAAATTTTCCTGGCGATGAGGCGGACTCCGCCCCCCTTCAAACCCCCCCAAACAGAAGGGGGCACATCCCCCTTCTGGCAACCCCCTGATGTATCTTTTGGTTGGGGGGCCGCGCCGAAAAAGTGGTCACTTTTTTAACAACATTTCTCAAACAAAAACAAGTGTTGGGGGCCTAAATTAGGCATTTTTTCACCATTTGAGACAACAAAAAGGGGGGGTGAAAAAGGCGTTAAAAGGCGTGTATATGAAGTAATGGGTTAAACAGTACAGATCGAGATCACGGGAATTGACCACCTGTCATACACGTCAAAAGTTTTTTTGTTATCAATTATGTTAAGTATATCTTCTGATCTTTTCAAAAAATAATATTTAAATACATGAACATAAAATTAAGCCAAATATTGTATTAACAAAAACTTTGATTTTTCCAATTCTACTATAATTACAAGATATTGTGATTTCCGCATTTTAAGTTTGTTAATAAATAACACGAAATATATTTAAATCTTAAGTTAAATTCATTTACTGTTCATTACATACAATTAAAGAAATAAATAGTTAACGTTTAATCGCCTCTCATTACGACAATAATCAACACAAATATAGTTTAATTTTTAATTGAATTTGCATTAGTTAACTAAATTAAGTAATATGTTGATATTACAGAATCAATGTTCAGTATTTTTTTATGCCGGCTCGCCACGGCGAGCCGGTATTACGTAAAGATTTTACTGAGAAACAACCTAAAACTCCGAATCCATCCAAAAATTTAATCGAAGCTTGGCTTCCAGCTTTCTATAAAAATTTATCTATCAGGGCTAGGATCCAAAATTATTTAGCCAATCAAATTTAATCTTACATAGCTTCAAAAAACCTTCAATTTTCACGCCATATTTAAAAAGCAGCAAGTATTGCTTTGAGCGCAAAGATATTATGATGATTAAAAATGTTTGTTTTCATGAATTCTTTTCAATAAATCATATTTACACTGACTTTTGATTTAGCGATCTCACCGGTTCCTCTGTAGTAAGCTTTTGTTTGGTTAATTAACATAAGTGTACATCTAGTTCTGTGCATTTTTTCTTTTTCCTTTTTTCCGGTCATTTTATCCTTTCCGGTATTTAGTGTATATATTTACTGGCCGGGATCCGGGACGCCCGGACTGGCCGGGATCCGGGATCGTATAAGATATAGAGGAAAAACTAATAAACTATATTTGTGTTGATTATTGTCGTAATGAAAGGCCATTAAACGTTAAGTTTTTTTTTATTGTATGTAATGAACGTTAAATTAATTAAACTTAGGATATAAATATATTTAGAGCTATTTATCAACAAACTTAAAATGCGGAAATCACAATACTTATAATTATATGCCTAATTAATTGGAAAAATCAAAGACTACATTCTTGAATTGGTCAAATCCCGGGATCCCTTTATGTTTTAATGCGATCCCAGCTTTTCTGAAAACTATATTCTTGAACTGGCCAATTCCTGGGATCTCTTTATATTTTAATACGATCCCGGCTTTTCTGAAAACTATATTCTTGAACTGGTCAATTCCCGGGATCCCTATATGTTTTAATAGGATCCCGGCTTATCTGAAAAGCATCTTAGACTGGTCAATTTCCGGGATCCCTATATCTTTAATAGGATCCCGGCTTTTCTGGCTGAATTGATTGACAACTTGTGTTTACTTTAGGACTTGTGTCTGTCACTCATTCCAATACATATTATAACTTAACTTTGTATAAAGAGACATCTTTATGAATTCTACCTATCTAACATTTATTTGGTCAAGGTCAACAGGCCATACAGTAAATGTGCATAGACATAGGGACTTCATTCTATCTGTTTACATGCATCTTCATATATACTCATATTCCTCTTTGTTAAACTGAGAGAACTGGCTTCCATAACTTTATGTCACTTTTATTTTGATGTTCGCTGAAGTCTCTTCAGCTAACAGAACTGTCATTTTTACATTTAAACGCACCCCTGGAAAAAAATTACGAAGCGAGTCGCTACTAGCTTTTTTAAAAGCTAACCTTGTTATAAACATTCATTGTATTTTTGTTATACCTTATATAAACTCCGTTGCGCCGATGGATTATTGCGAAACGGAGATTTTATTTTCAAAACTGTGTACTGTTTTTTTTTATGTCTAAAACATAAAATAATCATATAAGTTGGTATTGTTGATATTTTATACATATTTTTTACATATACTGTATAAGTTGGATTTTATTAGGTAGAATACTGAATATATCAGATTCTAAATGGACGGCGAAATGGACATAATTTCGGCGCAATGGAAAATGAAGATTTGCATAACGGGTAGTTCTTATGTTTGAACATAACTTAAGAATTTGAGAATAATAAGTAACAGTCTTTTAAAAATGATTTACTTTCCTTTATTTTAGAAAATGTTGAAAATAGGATATTGTAAAAGATATTTAAATTACGGCGAAATGGACACATTTCGGCACAACGGGGATTATCATAACAGTTTTATCATATTATATTATTTTATTAATTTATTATCTTTCATTAATCATTGTGTACCTTTTCAATAATTGTTTGTTGCGTATAAATTGTATATTTCATCAAAAGCAATCAAAATATTTCATAATTGTTATATTGACAAACGGTAATCAATTACGCGAGAATTGTAAGCAATTAGCAACGTATCGTGCACCAGTATGGCACGGGTGTTTAATAATTTTAACACTTGTAAAAGAAAACTTGACCGTTATCAGTGGCGGATTCAGGCTCCAAAATGTTTTATTACGTCTCACATTTCATATACACAATTTTTCTCATAGTTTGAGTGAAATATTGGCATAATAAGCTTCAAAAGCAATATTTTCGACAATAATAAGTTATAAAAAATATGTAATACCTTAAAGTCAATACATGTTCCTCTTAATCACATTATCTAAATGGTGTGAAAACGCTTGTCCAATAAACATCAACCACGTGTCATTGGTAATTTAATTATCGGTACTTAACACCCGTGATAAACATTCTGCCAATCACCAAATTGCTGTTGTTTCGCTAAATAAACAGTAGCTGCATTTGATTAACGGGTTTTTCTGATTGGGAAGGAATTGTTATAAGTAACGTTCAAAATATGAAAAACAAGATCAACAAGGAAAGGCGGCGTTCAATGAACGCAACCCCCATATGACCCAGCAACAAGAACCAATGGCAAGGAGCCCAGGTGGACCCCAAACATAAAAAGGACAGGGCAACGACACATTAATCATTAAATGATAAATAATTTGTATCTGATTAGGAATTCAAAGAAAATAATAATAGGCCCACAAAGGGGAAGGGGACAGGAGACCAGGGGAAGGGGGGGGGGGGTAATCAAAGAAATAAAAACTAGAGGCAATGGGGAAGATACTTACCGTAGACGAGAAAACAACAAGGGACACAAGCAAAAGTGTCACCAAAACAGTATGAAACAACATAGACATACATCTGAGGAACACAGTGGGGCGCCGCCTTGGAACGGTCAGCAGCATAATTAATATCTTTAATGATTTACTTCTTCATATAACTACTTAATTCGGACTAACATTGATTCCGTTGAGCCAAAAAAAAAAAAAAATCTCCGTTGCGCAGACAAAATGTCCATTTCGCCGGCAAACAATCCTTTACAACATCAACATTGCAGCTCTTTGATTATTTGATATACGATAAAGGTTTTTAAATTTTATTTTAATTTATTTATTCAAATAACAATGGTGTTAATTAATTTCATTTAATAGTACAATAGTACAAACTTTGTGCCGATTTTCCAAAATTATCTCCGTTGCGCCGTGAAATTTCCATTTCGCCAGGCATATTATATAATCCTTCAGTGTATACATATACAATTTATGAAACATTTGAAATCATACTTACTTTATAGTGCTAAACAATCATTTATGATGCTCAAATACAGCATATTGACTTAAAAAAAAGGCGTTTTGTCGTTTTTTCTGAAAAAAAATGTCTCCGTTGCGCCATGAAATTTCCATTTCGCCAGGCATATGACCCTTCAGTGCAATTAAACATATACAATTTATGAAATATTTTAAAACTTACTTACTAAATAGTTATAAACAATCATTTTAGATGCTTAAATATAGCAAAATGACTTTAAAAAAAGGCGTTGTGCCGGTTTTTCTAAAAATAATATCTCCGTTGCGCCCGTTGCGTCCGTTGCGCCAAAAAATCTCCGTTGCGTATTTTAGTGGTACCGAGTTTTCCCTATATATCTAATACGATCCCGGATCCCGGGCGTCCCGGATCCCGGGATTTTCCCCCAACCCCGGTCTGCTGTTAATTCGTACTCAAATTAATTCGTAATCTGTAATTTTGGTCAAATCGGTTGTGTGCAGGCGAGTGCTTGTAATTTGACAGTTTCGTAACACTTATGCTAGTTATCGACTAAGTTATTGTTTTTCTGATTTATCTGTTCTTTCATGGTTAAAATGAATTCCTCCTTGTATAATTTAGTGAACAAAATGATCATCAAACACCCAGACAGGCTCGCTGTTCAATTTGATAATGGGGAGCAACTTTCAGCAATCTCTTACACACAGCTAAGAAACATATCATCTCTGGTAAGAAATGTTCACTATAATTACGTAGGCTAAGTGTAAATCAATCGTCAGTAAGCTAATAAAAACGTTTAATTATAATAAAATAGTGATGATGACGATCATGATGATGATAAAAGTAGAAGTAATATTTCAAATAAATGGAAATTTTAATATATTATAGGAATATTTTAAAGTAAACAAATCATTTATAATTTATCCATATTGGTAGCATCATAATGTATGTATTATTAATATCTAAGAATCTTAATTTTTGCCCATATCTTTTGCATTTATTTTGAGTTTGTCCTTTGCATTTTTCTTTCTAAACTTTGAACTTCTATAATATTTTTATTTTACTAATAATGCAGCATGTTGGGATATTTTGTCAAGGTAATTTCAATTCTACTTTGCATAATATAGGTGATGAAGTTGCTACATGGAAGAGACAGTGAAGTTATTGGTTTATGTCTTTACACGGACCATAGGTTACCAGCAATTTTACTTGGGTAAATATAATGATTATTGTAAGATTGAAACATTGGCTGCCAGATCTGACAGGTTGCATGAGGTTATTTAAGCTGGCAAAGAGGCGCAAAGAAGTTTCTGTTAAACAGTTATCAAAAAGCTGGATAGGATGCCAGTGTTGGATTCGTATATGTGGCCTTCTTTTTCATATGCAGTAACATATTAATTATAGTTTAAAAAAAAATGAATGAAAACAGAGTATTCTATTCAATTATTTTACTTATTTTATATAAATTTTAAACTCAATACATGCAATATGGTAGAATAGTGTTAATCTGAATAAGCAATTTCGTTCTAAAAAGGCATACAAATGTAAAAATGATGTCATTTAAAACAGATAACTGATACAAATTACATGTACTGTAAATGATATCCTTCTGCTACATTTTGTAATTTGCATGTACACTCAGCAATGATGTATGGAATATCAGTAAAATTCTTTAAGAAGTCCATTGAGTATTTTGTACTTAAACGCAATTAATTGTCCATGTCTTATGGGACAGCCTTCATAAAATGTCATTTTTCCAGTCAAGACTTTTTGAAAATGGCAAGAAATAAACTAACTTAAGTTATATTACTTTTCTCCAGAGTCCTTGGATGTAAGGCAGCATTCTACAACTTTGATGCCAAAGGTTTTATGTATGCAAGACAGGTGCTAAAAGATGTAGGAACACAGATTCTGTTAGTACATAAAAGTTTTATTCAGGTATAAAAATGTTCTAACAGTTAGTCATTATGAGGGAAATAAGGGCCTCCTTTACTGAACAGCCGGCATAAATGCATTCATTCACATTTTTTATTTTTCTATGTCATTTTATCATTAAAGACATCACCAAGATTAATCATGAGTCCTGCTATACGAGGGTTGTTCAAAAAGTAATAGGATTAAGAGTCTTGCATTATTCATATTTCATTCAATTAAGAATATTTTCATATGTACAGCGATCGTAAAATGTTCTCTACAATTTAATCACAAGTTTATTAAATTCTTCTGCTAAACGCGACTTTACTGTGATATTGAATAACCATGGTAACACGCACCAGGAGCAACACATCAAAATAGTTATTGAAGCTAAGTTGTACTTCAAATTTATTTATAATTTATTCTCTGTTTGTCTATAATTATATTCCATCAACACATATAATTATAACTATTTGACTTTACGTTCAAATTTGACGTCATTCAGAATTGAAATGCCTTAGTAATTTAGTTTTAAACAGCAATGGTCATAACGTTAAATGTAAAAGTATAACTTTTGCTAAAAAACTGTAAATTCTTGCGATCGTTTAATATTGATTAGCTACTCTCATTCGGATACAAACAAAATGATTTAATTAACAAAGGACAATCATCCTGCCATCAGAACACTTGTTTTAAGCTGGCACAAGCAATTCAAAAACGGTGAATACAAGATCACTAACAGGAAAGGGCGATGATGAAAGCGGAAACGGGACGTTAGTGACGTCAATTGCAAAAGCGCTACAAAAGGATCGACGGTAAACGAGTTGCGAACTGTCAGGCATTTTTTATGTCTGCTACGGGTCTATTTAGAAGGCTTGAATATGAGACATTTGTTTAAACACTATTTTATCATATTAAACTAGATATACGTATTATCAATAAATTAATATAATAATGATTAACGGTAATAATTATTAGTATTTCCCCCAATTTTGTTTAAATAGATAATTTTCAATTTATACATATTGTTATTTAACTGTGAATAATCATATTGTTTTAAAACGTATGATAACATGTGTATATGAATAATATGAATCGCCTTTGCATTCACATTTAAGGCCATGCCTGTAGAGTTTCAAGATGACTCAAATTTATATGAAAAAAGCGGAGAATGGCTGGCTATCAGGCATGTTTTACATTATTTTTTGGGAGTGGAACGAAATTGTGATCGCGTTCTTCCTCTCTTCGTTTCCACATATGAAGCCTGGTCGTAGTGACATGATTCAGACACCTAGAGCACTAGCGAGAATACTTTCAGAAAGAATGACACTTGTTACATTTTGTATTTATTTTACGACGTCAAGAACGTCATTTATTATTAGTTATAAAGTCTTGTTGACATGTTATATGGCCGTATATAAACGGCTATTTGTAAATATAACCCGAGCCGCTAGGCGAGGGTTATATTGCAAATAGCGGTTTATATACAGCCATATAACCTGTCAACAATCTTTACAACAAATTTATAATACAGCACATATCAGTTTTTAGTGAAAAAAGTAAGATTTCTTCAGAAATCGACAGCAGCCGTGTATATAAACTATATAAACGTCATGATTATCCAATGAAAAGCGACGTTACAAACATGCAGTATTATAATGTATTGTTAGCGTGCGCTGGGTTTCTTACCCCTTGTCATTTGAAAATTTCACAGAAATCTTATTTGTAAATATTTTGTACTGATTTTTTTACTGTATATAGAGAACATGTCCGATAATTGTCTCTTGTAAAATTGTGTACGCAAATGAAAAAATGTGAGCAGTAGAGCTGCAGTTCTAGTACTTTTTGAACAACCCTCATAATAATGCAGAAATCAAAATTGTAACACAATTAGCTGCCATCCCTTAACAGTGTGTGGATAGTAAGGAAGAGAAGCCAGGCTTAGCTTTCGGGTTCAATCCAATTCTGTTTTGGCACCAAAAAGTCATAGTCCGAGTCATGCTGCAGGCTTTAGGTGCTGGGATGGAGAAACAAATGACTGGTGTATTGTTACGTTAAGATTGTCTAATTCTAAATTTCTGAAGAAAAATAAAAATACATATACAGATGTAATCAAGTAAATGTAAGACTGTTTTATATAGAAGTATAAACTACATTGTACATGGTTTTGTACTTATGAAACTATTTCACATATTTTTAAACATATCCCAGCTGTGATCAAAGCTAAATGAAGCAGTGGCTGAAAGTGGCTGAAAGACACATATCAGGGCATACATGTGTCATAATTATTATTCCTTTGTATAACACCTGTCCAGTAAATGAACAGATTGATAAAAATTTTAAAAAACTTGCTTAGAATTATAATAATATATAAAGTAGGTAAAACATTTACATTTGATAGATACATGTAATAGCTTTGATAAACTATGGTAAATTCAAAATAAAGAGTAATACATGTCAACACTAGGACAAGTTTACAATATTTTATTTGAGTCTACTAGTTTTGGTCATTAATATATGACCTTCATCAGTTTGGTTTAATATAATTGGTTTTGAATTTAATAGGTCATAAAGAATCAGATCAAAGAAGAGGAGGTTGTTTATACTCCAGTATCAGTTCAAGGGTTAGAGGATTATTTTGTGATACAGTTTACGTGTATCGCACGGAAATATTGTAAATCAAGTCTTGCATATTGTATTACTACATCCGGAACCACTGGCAAGCCGAAAGTTGTTATGGTACCAAACGAATGCGTAGTGCCTAATATTCTTCATCTAAGGTACAAGTTCATTTGCTCACTTGTTCCCGACATTCTAAAAATATTGTTAGGGGGGCATTGAATTCATTGATGTATTGTCTTAATAAGCTAGCTACCTTTGTTAAATAAAGAGTTTATTATTGTTATTATTATTCTTATTATTTTATTTAATTTTACTAATGAAATATGGTGCTATATCAGTCAATATATTTTTTTTTTTTTAAAAATAAATATGAAATGTAAATATAAAAGTGGGCGGAGTCAAAACTCATATTTAATTTAAGGTACTGCTTTCGCCATTTTTGTTTGAAAAATCTGATAAATACAAAACAAATTTTTCTTGAATATTGCTTTGAAAACTGTCTAACTGAGAAAATAAATCCGAACACCAATATCTGTGATCTTTAATTCAGTTATTAATGCTGTACAGACGTTTAAAGAGTTGTTTAATGTGACGTCACAATACAGCGCCAAATATGGCAATATATATATATATATATTTATATTATTAATCTAGCTAGCAGTTAGTGTTATAATGCCATCATAAAAATATTGCATGGAGTCATATATACATGTACAGTATTTTACTTCAATAAAGCTTGAGTCTTACACAATGTTTATGATCTTTATGGTTTATAGTTTTAATATGACTCAATTTGTGTCATTCTTTTGATATGTTTAAAATTTCAGTAAACTGTTCTCAGTGACCTTAGATGACCTTGTGTTAGGAGCAACAGTCTTGACCTTTGACCCTAGTATTATAGAGATATTTATAGCATTGAGTGTTGGAGCTTGTGTGTTGATGGTACCTCCAACAGTGAAGATGATACCTGACCGTTTACTAGACATTATACATGTTAGGAATAAAGTCACAGTGATTCAGGTAATATATTCTGTACTTGTGCTCTATGACTCAAAACTTTCTATAAGGTTTTAAGTTACATTAATTAAATGTCTGTGATCAGCAAACTAATTGTTGAGTATCATGATAACAAACAATATTAAAGGCACATTCTGCCTCAGAAATTAATAATTTTTGACTTCTTTAGAAAGGGCAAACATGAATTTTAAATGTTCAAATAATGGTTTTTGAGAAATGTTAGATAATTGTTACCTGGAAAAAAAACTACAGTAGTGAAATAACTTGTCATAGATGTAGCGAAATGTAAACAAAGTAGTATTTGACTCCCACACAAAATACTAATTCAATGTCAATATAGCTGTACTTATTGCCAAAAAGCAACAGGTGATAAAGATGGTTCTGGCGGATTCAGGTAAATTGCCAATGAGTAACTTTTTAGATACTATAAAAGTACGCCAGGATTAAAAAAGCTATTGAGAAATAAAATTAAAAGTATTTCTGAGGCATAATGGGCCTTTAATTGAAATAATGATATTTGTAAGTGGCCATTAAAGCAAGGGGTAGAGATAACATTACCAAATCCACTGAAAATAGCAATTAAATATCTTGATTGAGAATGTTTTATTGTGTGAAATACATATACATGTAAAAAAATTCTCATAATTTGTGCAAATAGATTAACTTTTCTAGCCCTCTAACAGCTCTACTTTATACAGGTAACACCAACATTATTTTCAAGATTTGATGCTAGCAAATTATCTGACACAATATTGGGAGATAAATCCAATGTAAGAGTTTATTGCCCTTGGAGGAGAGAGGTTCCCATCATGCACTTGGCTGCAGTCAATGAGGTCAACAGGCAACCAGACATGTTTCTATAATCTTTATGGTACAACAGAAGTGTCTTGCTGGGCGACATGCTATAAAGTCACTGACATAGATTTTAAGTAAGAAATCATAAATGTATATCCTGTGAAAATTAGAGCTGTCATCAATACAAATAATATCAATGTATCATTGATATTTTTCTGTTGAATAATAATAGATACACAATTTAGAAAATCAATAATTTTCACTTAATATCTAGATTATGTCTAGAAATTATAAAATTCACCCCAAACATATGTAGAAGCTTATTCCATAGCAGTCACATGACATGATGACAAAAACTGGTCAGCAAATGTACATAGTTTATTTTTTAAATTGAAAAAAAAAATAGCTTACAACCTGTTATAATTAATTAAATATTTTAATGATTATTAAAATAGTCAACTTGAGTTATATAACAGTTTTGTATGTTTTTGCACAGACTTTCAGAAGAAATTCCCCTTGGTGACCCTCTTCAGGATACAGTGCTTGAGGTACATGATGATGTTGGAAACATTGTTACTGAAGGAACTGGAACACTTTGGATTGGTATAAAATACATAACAGAATCAGATTACCCTGTGCTTGAAAATTAAGATAAAAATCATGGACAATTTCAAGTGTGTCTAGATTAATTAAGAGAAAGTTGTCAAGCTCAATGTTTGTAATATTTGTACATCTGTTTGTCTGTTTAAAAAAAAGTTTTCCCCGACATGTAGTCTAATGGTCATTAAATTTTGTATTTCGCCGCTGATTTAGTGATCATGTGGGAGTTATAGATGGTTACTTGCTATGAAATTAGTAATTATTGATTTGTTATCCAGGAAACCTAGTTACATGTAGGTGGATAGATTCCCTAAATACATGTATGACCAAATATGTGTTAAAATCCATGTATGAACAAAAAAAAAACTCTTAGATTTTATTTGACAAAAAAATAATAACTGCCATTAACTCCGGATGATCCAATTTCTTGGTAAAATCTCTTTCAAACAAAACATTTAGTAAACACATTTTTTTGTGGTGTGAACAATTGATTTGGTTTTAAAAGAATTTTAATATAAATTGGTTATAGTTTGAACTGTCCTGAAACAATTTGTTATATCATGCTTTAAAAGCAATGTTGAATTTGTAGAATACTGCTACCAAAATTATTGCTTGAAGTTATTGTATTCTAAGTATTGCAATGTAAAAACACAAATGGTAATTTTGGGTCAAAAGGGTACCTCAACTAACAAATCTTATCGTAATTATGTCTTCAACACTTAATAAAAGAATAACTCAAATATCATCTAATTCTAAGTGATATTGACAGGTGGGAGTAGAAGACAATGTATGATTGGTGTTAATGAGGAGCTGAACTTTGATCATGTGGTAGTGAGAGATACTGGGGATATGGTGAGAATACACAATAACAACATATATTACATCGGTAGAAAAGATCAACAGATGAAACGAAATGGTAGAAGGATGAATCTTGAAGAAATTAAAATGGTAACTTAAATATTTATCTTACAGAACTATTATTATATGTGGACTAGACTTTCCTTACTAACAAATTTGTACAATTTTTGTTGAAGAGCTTGCAATATTGAAAAATAAAAACCCGATGAAGCTATTGGTATAGAATCTGTTCAAACTGCACATATGTGCACATATTATAGGATATGATTTAACTACACATATGTGTATATATTATTATCAGATAGCACATTTTAAAGGTATCACAGTAAAGTTGGACCAGAAATATATGGAAACTATTCAGCTAACTTAAGAAAGATCAGTGGTTCTTCTCAGTTGCTAATTATGCCTAAAATAATGCTTGGGGATGTATCTTGGGGTTTTCTCCACTTGTAAAACTGGCAAAAGATTCAATACATGTATAACCTTATATTGGAATGGCTTAAAATGAAAGAACAAATATATTTCCTATTTCAATTATTTCAGGTTTTAAAAAAACATGAATATGTTCATGATGTGGAAGTATTACTTATAGATAATCAGTTGATTGTGTTTATTGTACCTTCACATCTGGCTGTGAACTCTGAGAAGATCAATATATACATGAAGGACAATCTCCCTTCTCATTGGTGGCCAGACGTAGTTATAACTATTGCCAATCTACCTGTCACTCAACATGGTATGTTTGTTGTGCTTTTAGCTTGACTATTCGGTAAGAATAAGAAGAGCTATCCTAGTCACCTGAGCCCCAGGGTCAGCGTAACCACTTATGTTAAAGTTTTTGTAACACCTCAAATATTTTCAAAGTCTATTGACATATGGCTTTCAAACTTTGCACACTTGTTCATCATCATGTCCCCAACATGTAGACTGGAGGAGATAACTCTATCAAGCATTTTAACAGAATTATGCCCCTTTTTCAACTTAGAATTTATGTTAATGTTTTTGTTACACCTCAAATATTTTCATATTCCATTGCCATATGGCTTTGAAACTTTGCACTCTTGTTCGCCATCATGTCCCCAACCTGTAGACAGGAGGTGGTAACTCTATCAAGTATTTTGACAGAATTATGCCCCTTTTTTTAGCTCACCTGTCACAAAGTGACAGGGTGAGCTTTTGTGATCGCTTTTCGTCCGGCGTCCGTCCGTCCGTCGTCCGTCCGTCGTCCGTCCGTAAACTTTTACTTTAAATGACATCTCCTCATAAACCACTAAGCCAATTTCATCCAAACTTCACAGGAATGTTCCTATGGTGGTCACCTTTAAAAATTGTTCAAAGAATTAAATTCCATGCAGAACTCTGGTTGCCATGGCAACCGAAAGAAAAAACTTTAAATATCTTCTTTTAAAAAACCATAAGAGCTAGAGCTTAGATATTTGGCATGAAACATCTTCTAGTGAGTGTCTACCAAGTTTGTTCAAATAAAAGCCCTGGGGTCAAAATTGGCCCCGCCCCAGGGGGTCATTGATTTTTCCTATATGCATATAGTAAAAACTTAAAAAATCTTCTTTTAAAGAACCCAAAGAGCTAGAGCTAAGATATTTAGCATGAAACATGTTCTAGTGGGTGTCTACCAAGTTTGTTCAAATAAAAGCCTTTGGGTCAAAATTGGCCCCGCCCCGGGGGGTCATTGATTTTCCCTATATGCATATAGTAAAAACTTAAAAAATCTTCTTTTAAAGAACTCAAAGAGCTATGGCTAAGATATTTAGCATCAAACATGTTCTAATAGGTGTCTACCAAGTTTGTTCAAATAAAAGCCCTGGGGTCAAAATTGGCCCCGCCCCAGGAGGTCATTGATCTTCCCTATATGCATATAGTTAAAACTTAAAAAATCTTCTTTTAAAGAACCAAAAGAGTTAGAGCTAAGATATTTAGCATGAAACATGTTCTAATAAGTGTCTACCAAGTTTGTTCAAATAAAATCCCTGGGGTCAAAATTGGCCCCGCCCGGGGGGTCATTGATTTTCCCTATTTGCATATAGTAAAAACTTAAAAAATCTTCTTTTAAAGAACCCAAAGAGCTAGAGCTAAGATATTTAGCATCAAACATGTTCTAATGGGTGTCTACCAAGTTTGTTCAAATAAAATCCCTGGGGTCAAAATTGGCCCCGCCCCAGGGGGTCATTGATTTTCCCTATATGCATATAGTAAAAACTTAAAAAATCTTCTTTTAAAGAACTCAAAGAGCTATGGCTAAGATATTGAGCATCAAACATGTTCTAATAGGTGTCTACCAAGTTTGTTCAAAGAAAAGTCCTGGGGTCAAAATTGGCCCCGCCCCAGGGGGTCATTGATTTTCCCTATATGCATATAACTTAAAAACTTAAAAAATCTTCTTTTAAAGAACCAAAAGAGTTAGAGCTAAGATATTTAGCATAAAACATGTTCTAATAAGTGTCTACCAAGTTTGTTCAAATAAAAGCCCTGGGGTCAAAATTGGCCCCGCCCCGGGGGGTCATTGATTTTTCCCTATATGCATATTGTAAAAACTTAAAAAATCTCTTTTAAAGAACTCAAAGAGCTAGGCTAAGATATTTAGCATCAAAAACATGTTCTAATAGGTGTCTACCAAAGTTTGTTCAAATAAAAGCCCTGGGGTCAAAAGTGGCACCGCCCCGGGGGTCATTGATTTTCCTTATATGTGTATATCAAAAACTTAAAAAATCTTCTTTGATAAAACCCAATTAGCTAGAGTTAAGATATTAAGCATGAAACATCTTTTAGTGAGTGTCTACAAAGTTTGTTCAAATAAAAGACCTGGTGTGAAAATTGGCCCCACCCCGGGGGTCATTGATTTTCCCTATATGCATATTGTAAAAACTTAAAAAATCTTCTTTTAAAGAACTCAAAGAGCTATGGCTAAGATATTTAGCATCAAACATGTTCTAATAGGTGTCTACCAAGTTTGTTCAAATAAAAGCCCTGGGGTCAAAAGTGGCACCGCCCCGGGGGTCATTGATTTTCCTTATATGTGTATATCAAAAACTTAAAAAATCTTCTTTGATAAAACCCAATTAGCTAGAGTTAAGATATTAAGCATGAAACATCTTTTAGTGAGTGTCTACAAAGTTTGTTCAAATAAAAGACCTGGTGTGAAAATTGCCCACCCCGGGGGTCATTGATTTTCTTTATATGTGTATAGCAAAAACTTAAAATCTTCTTTGAAAAAAAACCCAAATAGCTAGAGTTTAGGTATTAAGCAAGAAACATCTTCTAGGAAGTGTCTACAAAGTTTGTTCAAATAAAAGCCCTGGGGTCAAAAACTGGCCCGGCCCCAGGGTGTCATTGTTTTTTAACTATATGTGTATAGTAAAAACTTTAAAAAAAATCTTCTTTTAAAAAGCCCAATGAGCTAGAGCTTAGATGTTTAGCATGGAAAACATCTTCTTATGGGTGTCTACCAAGTTTGTGCAAATAAAAGCCCTTGGGTTTAAATTGGCCCTGCAACGTTGGGGTTGGGGGGGCCCCTATATACAGGTTTGAGCGAAACCTCAGGGCCAATCCATGGCCCTTTTACTTAGAATTGAAGGTTTTTAAGTTTGCATACCACCTCAGGAATATTTTCATATTCCATTGACATCTGGCTTTGAACAAGTTGAAATTCATACAACTTCTTTTACTATCAAGCATTCTATCAAAGATTTTTCTTTTCTTTTAAAAATGAAGGGTTGCTGTTAGAATCTAGTTGTATACTGGTGCAAAATTCTCCATATAAGTTCTTTTTATGTAATTAAACTTTTAAAAAAAAGGGGTGCGGAAATCAATCAATTTCTATGTTATTAGGGCTTTTATGAACCAGACAACTGTTACAGACCAGCCCCTGTTTTCCCAATCACCTTAGAACATGGAAGACTTTTTATCAGACTTTTTAGATTAAACTATTTACATGTTTAAAGTGTATAAATGAGTAAACAGGTGAAAAGTCAAAATAAGAGTTTTCAATTTTGCCAATAATTTTCCTTTTAATAAAAACAATTATTTCACATTAACAATAAACAACGCATGGATCCAAACGATTTTTTCCTTAAATATCCATTAGAAGTTACCTGTAACATTTCAGTTTCATAAAACAGAGCTGGGGC